TATACTCGACGCGTCCGCAAGTTCGCTTAGGTGCGCGCGGCAAATATGACGTCATCTCGACGCGTCCGCAAGTTCGCTTTGAGTGCGCGCGACGTCGTTTCGCGTGGCGGTGTGCATGACATTTTTTATAACTTTCTGCGCAGCTCCGCTTCCGAAGATGCACGAGTTCAAAGCGACTCTAGCCGAACATGCACGTCTGTGCCGAGTCCGACATTTGTGTGAAACAGAAGCAGTTAATGTTAAGTGCAGTCACACACACAGATCACGTTGCGGCCGAACTCAGACATTCAGGAAACCAATAGTTATGTCGGATTCGTGAACAAATCGGATCTTTTCAATGAACCCGTTTGAAAGATTTGTTCACGAATCATCTGAGCGAATTGCCCCTCATTAAACTGGTCATTAGTTATGTTTGTTTGCTTCCTGAATGAACTGTTCGTGTCAGTCTGGACTATTTTTATATAGTTTTTATGTTGATATATTATATTGATATGTTTTATATTGAAACTGTTTATATTGTTTCTTTTAGACATAACCTATTCATAATTATCAAAGCTAGAACCGACCAGTGATCTAAGAGTAGACATTTTGAGGTAAACTGAACATTTGACTGGCTGGTGGAAAGTTATTTTTTTATAGCAGAAGTTTTAAACTAGTTCTGTTCAAAAGAACCAAATTTAAGTGCACTGCTTTTAAGGACACAATAATGAGCCCTGAAGGTTAATTCCGCTTAACCTCAGGTTGTTGGCTAAATGCCACATTAGTAAATATATTCACCAGAGAATGTTATCTTGTATTTACTTGACTGTGATGACTTGGTGTAACTGGCTGTATAGCTCGGACAGAGGGATTAGCTTCCATTGCAAAACTGCAGTTAGTGGTGCAACATGTGAACTGTAGGGTTGCAGAGTTGATATTCGATTCAGTTTCGCAAAAACTATGGCTCAGTCTATCAATAGACAGTAGGTCAGTGGTATTTGGGTGACAAACTGCAGAGTGTCAACATGTTACCTACAGAAACCAATGTGTTACATGAGTTACAGCCAATGTCTTTGCTTAAAATAGAGCACTTAAAGAAAAAAATAATGCACTGAGAGCTAAGTCAGAAATAAATTTCCTTGAATAACAGAAAAATTCTCTAACATGCACTTGAATTTTTTTACTGTGTTCTAGATTGCAGCAATTTTAAGAAGAAGGAAAAAGGATTATTACAAGAAAAGGCTGCTTCCCGAGATCCTGCAATCTACATCTTTCCTGACCGCAAATGGAGGCCTCTACATTGCATTTTTCTGCATTCTCCGGTAATCTTTACAAAATTCTGCTAACAAACAATTCTTGGAAATGTTTGCTGTCCCACGTGTGTGACTGTTCGAACACGAGCAACCTTTGAATCCTCGTCCTTATCAACCGTTTAAAGTCTACGCACATATCCATACAAATAGGACTGTAAAGACCTTTGACACATCAAATAAATTATGTACTGGGATTTGTGACTGGCATTCTGCATGACCGGACCACTCACCTAATTTGTGAATGAACTATTTTAATCCCTTCTAAATGAGACAAATATTCAACCGTGATATTGTCCTCAGTTGAAAGCATGTTCATTAGCTTATGATTATTAATGACCAGCTATCCTTTCCATTGTTGCCTGTCTTTTTCCTCTGTTATTCAGGAAGCTGTTGGGACGTTTCTACTCCTGGTCAGCCGGCTTTGGGGCAGCACTGCCGGCCTCATACATCGCCATACTAATAGAGCGGAAAAGCAGGTTAGCCCTGACATTTCCTCACAGATTTCCTTTGGTCTTTGTTTAATACAAATTTTATACAAATTATCCAAAGTATAAAGCAAATTTACACTGAGCTTGTATATGGAAATGTACTCTGATGGAAAAGAGTAAAGGCCCATTCACATCAAGAATGACAACTAGAACAATAACTATATTAGTGTAGTAAAAGTGATGCCGCAAAACCTCAATTAGTTCTTGTATAATTTGTCTGTTTTCTTATTCAGGAGAGGACTCCTAACAATTTACATGGCGAACCTGGTAAGACGATTCAGCATTGCTTCTTTTCAGTTCCGCTGCGTTATGTCTTGACAGTTCTTTCATAGTTGCATGACCATTTCCTGGCAGTAGTCAACATCACATTAGTTATCTGTCACTTATGTTACTTTTTCTTGAAAGCTGTGATCCAAACTGTCTGTTTCAAGGAAACCTCGGCTGATTTTGATCTTAAGTGCTCCGTGTCATTTCCAGGCAACAGAGACGATTTTCCGGATGGCTGTCACAAGGGGTCTTGTTAAGCCTATGAAACATGGAGAGGTACGTTACAGTTCATTCTACCGTTCAGAGGTTTGGGGTTAGTAAGATTTTTTTTGAAAGAAATTAATGCTTTTATTAATTTCTTTTTCAAATGAATGCTGTTCTTAGGAACTTTCTATTCATCAAAAAATGTATCATGGTTTTAAAATATTAAGCAGCACAACTGTTTTCAACATTGATAATAATAAGAAATGTTTCTTGAGAACAAATCGGCATATTAGAATGATTTCTGAATGATCATGTGACACTGAAGACTGGAGTAATGATGCTGAAAATTCAGCTTTGCCATCACAACTGTTTTTTTTATTTTAAATTGTAATAATATTTCACAATATTACTGTTTTTACTGTATTTAAAAAAAATAAAATAAATGCAGACTTTTTGAGCATAAGAGACAAAAACAAACAAACAACAACAAAAAATCATACTGACCCCAAGCAAGCATTAGTGTAAATAGACCTCATCATATCATGCACTGAGATAATTTAGTGCTAATGATGCAACACCACTTTACATACTTGCAAAAGCTTTATTACTGTGAACTAACCTTGACCTGATCATAAAGTTTCATGTGATGACTCTTTCATAATTTCCCCTTTTTTCCAGGTTCTTCTCTTCTGCCTGACCACATCTCTCTACATGATTTTCTTCAGGTCAGTTGGTCAGGTTACTGCCTCTCAATCCTGGTCCTGGAGGACGCCAGCCCTAGTTATCTTATTTCTTTAACATGTCATCTTCTCATTAGTAGAGGCTCCTCCAAGACTTGCTGAGGTCCTCCAGGAGCAAGATTGTGATGGACATGCACAAATAAAAACGTAGTTGTTCAATTACAAACATTGACCCTTTTAAATTCCTAACTTCTGGTTTTATCTTCAGATGTAAAGACGGACTGAATGGCTTTGCATTCTCTGCCTTAAAGTAAGTTTATTTATCGATTTACATGACTTCACGTAGTTCTTAAATTCCCAAGGATTTGCCCATGATCTTAAGGCCCTAGGAAACACCCTGTTAAGAGCATAACCACTCATGTCAGACTGCTAAAGGAGATTATGTGTCTGGCTGCGGCAGATTTATAGTTGGCAAGGAGGAGATCCCGTCACACTCTTGTCTGGCTGAGCATGTGTACGGACAGGGTTCGGAGAGAGACGTACAGCCACCGGATGAGAGACTAGAGCACACGCCTGCCTCCAGGGGGAGCTGCATCAGAGCATTTACACGCAAACTCCTAGACTCTATGTGAGTGAGAGTAATACACATAGGAAGCATACATTTCAAACATGTATATAAGACTATGGTGTTTCTGACAGAAAATGTAATTCTATCCAATACAACCAGAGAATTCTTATAGAATTATCCATGAAAACTTACAGTTAAGGTAAACTGTCTTATATATTTTTTTCTGGACATAATTACTCTTAAAGTCTCTTTAATTCTTGAAAATACAAGGGAAAAAATTAGCTTACAAAATGTATTTTTAAGGCTTTCTAAGTATGAAAAATTTTTAAGAAAATAATTAATGGTAACTATCAATTTTATTAATAATATTAAATAATGTTTGAGATCAATGTTATTTTATTGACTACAGTAAAAACATTTAAAACCAAATTTCCATATATATTTGCCTGGGAGGAAATTACATACCAAACTACACAACACTTATTCAGAAGTTAAATTTTAGGTTAATAGGATTTTTAAACATGTTTTTAAAAGTGAAAACCGTAATATTGTGAAGTATTATTATAGTTTTAGACACTTTTTTTTTTTTCTATTTTATTATATTTGGAATGTAATTTATTTATATGATGGCAAAGCTGAATTTTCACCATCATCACTCCAGTCTTCAGTGTCACATGATCCTTCAGAAATCATTCTAATATGCTGATTTGGTGCTCACAAAACATTTCTTATTATAAGTGTTAAAAACAGTTGTGCTGCTTAATATTTTTTGTGGAAACAGTGAAATTTTTTTTAGGATTCTTTGAATAGTGTTCAAAAGAACAGCATTTTTTTTTTACTATAAAAGCATTAATTGCTTTAAAAACAAATTGTGACCTCAAATGTATATACAACAATAGTGGGTGAAAATTGTTTTACTTGCATTTGAAACTTGAAGTTAATTTTCGGTCCTGCTTGTTCAACATTCAGCTTAATTTTCATGCATGAATGTTCCCCTGCCTCATAACATATTTTGTGTTTGCATTCATTGTGTGTGTGTTGTCCCCTTTAGATGCAAACATGGACCCAGGCATAGATGTTGCAAACACTATCAAGACAACTGCATCTCCTACTGTGTTAAAGTAAGCGTCTGAGACCTCCTAACCTGCTGTCTCTCAAATCACTCATGTTTGTTCTGAGCATTTGCGTTTGAATGGGAGAGAGAGAATGTGAATGCATAAACGTGTTGCGTTTATCTGGGTTAAAGGCTCCGTCGCTATAGCAGTGCCCTTTGCTCACCAACTGACAGCTGACATGAAGCTGCCAGATATTTTCTGGAGAGCAGCTTCTGAGATGCTTTGTGTTTTTGAAGGGTTTCATCCGAATGTTCAGCGTGGGTTACCTCATTCAGTGCTGTTTGAAGGTTCCATCAGCATTCAGACAGGCCTTTACAAAACCCTCTCGACTGCTCTGGCTGCTCTACAACAAAGAGAACTTCCAGCTAGGAGCTTTCTTGGGATCTTTTGTCAGTATATACAAGGTACTTTATCTCCACTAAAATCCAGTGCTGTTTTTTTCTATGAGACAGCAAGTTTCTCTGCAGCTTTTAGGGGGTTTTGTTTTCTTCACCTTTCTCAGTAACTTTTTTTCAGTTGTGAATTTTCTCTCTCTCCAACTCCCTTCTATTTTATGAAAGGGCACAAGCTGTTTACTGAGATGGATGCGTAACCTGGACGACGAGCTCCATGCACTCATAGCAGGTAAAGAGTGTTTTGAACCCTTTTCCCTTTGCACAGCCATTAGAGGTTCTCATCTCACCTTTTTTTCCATTTATCTTTTCAGGTTTTCTTGCTGGCACCTCAATGTTCTTTTACAAGAGCACCACCATCTCCATGTACCTCTTCTCCAAACTAGTGGAGGTAGCGATTCTCTGGCTTTTTAGTGATTTCAAATTAGTATGATTTGCTTCTCAATGATTTCTCTGGTGTCTCAGAGAATTGTGAATAGACAAAATGTAAAGGGTTCCTCAAAAATGAAAATTCTTTAATCAATTCTTATTAATACTTAGAAAAATTGAAAAAAAAAATGAAAAAAAAGCACCAGAATGAATGTGTATATATATATATATATAT